AGAGTCATAAGCTCTTCCAATCCAGCCAGGCAGAGGCCTGGGCAAGTTTATACCATACAAAGCCCCAACTGCCAAGAGGTGTTTGATCTCTATTCTTTATTTCCAAAGATTCTGAGAAAGCGTGGGGAGGAAACTGATATTTCAAAGATTAATTTAGAAATTTCCCTGGATGAATGAGGAATGGGTGAGAATGGACTCAAGGAGACCACTTAGAAAGATACGATAATGGTCCGGGCACGAGGAACAGCAGATTCAAGAACAATTTCCTTTCTTGAAGGAGTAACAGGACTAGGTGACTAAAATAAAGAAGAAATTAAGAACCAAAGATGAGTCTGAGGTTCAAGATGTTTGCATGAGCAGAGTCACAGAAGTTTAGCCTTGCAAGGGGTCCCGTTTGACTCCCTCCCTGTTAAGAAATGAGACAACTGTACAATTGCTTAAAATCTCAGAACTAGTCCCCAGCAGAGCCAGCAGCGGAATGCCCCGGCCAGGGCTATCGTGAGATTTACCAAGCAGCATAAGCCTAAGGGGTAATTACATATAGATCTTTTCAGAATAACTATTTAATGACGAGAGCAACCAGACCAGGATCTATTGTGGTATAACCACAAGACTAAATTAAAAAAAAAAAAAATCCTGTAGCCCCATTAATAGTTCATGTGCAAAGTTGAACATTCTAAGATCTCTGCTATAAACAGAAACTTGATGAGTGACTTCCTAAGGTTGTAAGTTCTCCATGAGCACACTGACCATCGGGACCTATCCCTCCTCTGCCTGCTTTTTGCACCACTGACTGGTCATCTTAGCATTTATCGCTTTGTGTACCATTCCCTTTATTAAATGTGTGGCTTCTTGGGGCAGCGGGGTGGCTCGGTCAGCTGAGCATCGGACCGTTGGTTTTGGCTCAGGTTACAATCTCAAGGGTCGTCAGGCTCCGCACTCAGTGGGGAGTCTGCCTGAGATTCTCTCCTCTGCTCTTTCCCTACCCATCTCTCTCTCTCAAATAAATAAAAATAAATCTTAAAAAAAAAAAAAAGAAAAGAAAGAAAGTATAGCTTCTTCTGGTGGGGACTTATCCTTTATTTTCCTTTAACCTAAATTAGTGTCGGAATTAAACTCTGATGAACACCGATTACTGAAGGAATTAGTGAGATTCTATCCATTAAGGTTTTAGGATTAAGGAAGCTGAAAGTTTAAATAACAATGAAAAACATGATCCCCAGAGAGGCTACAGAGTTTAATGGAACAAGAACTGATCAAAGCATCCAGAACGTGATTCTTCAGTAGTAACAGGAAGGCCACTGATAATTCCAATTGTCCTTTTTAAGCCCTGAAGCCTGTGGGGCTAAAATAGTAAAAACTGCAACTTTAGTTATCACTGATTCCCTTTTAGACGTGGGTGAACTCAGGGCCTACTAACAGGACCCGTTTGATGAGAAAGAATATATGAAATGTATTACAGACGCACCATTCCATCTTTTCTTTCGAAAGACAAAGAACTCAAACATTGACCTTCCTAAGGGAACTCTCTCGCTTGCCTGAATGCACTTCTGGCGCTTGCATACAATTAAAACGTATGCTTTACTCTTCCCAGTTCTGCAACCTTTATAACTTGGAATAGGTCTTAGTCTTTCTACATTTTCACATTGATGTTTTGGATGTAGGTATATGGAAAAACAACTTTTTTCTGAAATAACTTAGAAACAATGTAACGGTGTTCTAAACCATGATTTTTCTGGAATTTGACCCTGAAAACAATCAATTTTTTTTTTAACCCCTGTCCTTAGACAACCTTGTGGAGCAGAACCACTAGACCTATTGCATTCCATCCTCTGAATTAGTCATTTTTTTTTAAGTCAAAATTAAAAGTAACATCAGTTTGATGAGTTAATGATAAACAAAACGTTGGCCCACTTCCTCTACCAACTTTGCTGAAACTGCAGGGATGAACGGTGAAGATATTCACGTCTGTTGAATAGAAGATGGGGAACGGTCAGAAGAGGAGGAAATAGGCCTGAAGCAAAGAGTAGTTGGGGTGTTTCTGCTCTCCTGGAATGAATGTCAGGCACAGGAGGTGGGGAGCAGGGAGATAAAATATCGGGGAGAGCAAGGAACCCCTCTTCCTCCCAGAACTCCCTCCTATGCTTGTGAACTTTTAAATATCATGGACCTAGAGACTATAAAAATACATTATAAAATATATCAAGATAGCACCATGTCAGCGCGTATTGGAGCGGCAGGGTGGGAAGAGCTTCCAAAGAGGAAAACAATTCCATTAAAATATCTTTAAAATAAATTAAACTGGGCAGCCCAGGTGGCTCAGTGGTTTAGCGCCGCCTTCACCCCAGGGCGTGTTCCTCCCGGGATCAAGTCCCAGGTGGGGCTCCCGGCATGGAGCCTGCTCCTCCTTCTGCCTGTGTCTCTGCCTCTCTCTCTCTCTCTCTCTACATCTTTCAAGAATAAATAAATAAAATCTTTAAAAAAAAACTAATTAAACTACTCTCAGGTCATTACAAACACAGGTGATTTAATTGAAACTCAGCGATTCGGCGAAACATATTACCAATCACACCTTTTCTTGTCTGAAATAATGGAAGACTCCCAAGCAATTGCAAGAATAGCGGAGTGTCATTGATCCAGGTCTCCCCAACACTGCTATCTTACGTGACCACGGCAGGTTATCAGAAGCGCATCATCAATTAGTTTTTGAAGATCCTGAAGTTTTCTTTTTCTTTTTCTTTTTTTTTTTTTTTTTGATCCTGAAGTTTTCGAAGTTAGTAGTATTTTTAAGATCCCTTTCGGATACTGGGAAGGGAGGTTTCCTTGGAAACAGCCGGGTCAGAAAGGTCAAGGAGATAATGGTCAGAGAGGTTAAGTGCTTGAGCCAGCGCCAGAATTGCACTCTCTTGGAATACTACCTTTTTTTTTTTTTTTTAAAGATTTTATTTATTCATGAGAGACAGAGAGAGAGAGAGAGAGAGAGAGAGAGAGAGAGGCAGAGACACGGGCACAGGGTGATGTGGGACTCGATCCCGGGATCCTGGGGTCACGACCTGGGCCCAAGGCAGGCTCTAAACCGCTGAGCCACCCGAGGATCCCCTCTTGGGCTACTACTTCTTAACCCTGCCTGAGCCCTCGAGGCCCTGGAGGATGGGAAAATCCAAACACTGGCTGGGCCCACCCTCAGTTAACCACACCAGCCTCCGCAGGTAAGGCTCAAGCGTCGGTAGGTCTTCAGACCTCCACAGACTGCAACTCGAAGTCAAGCTTTCAGAACCGCTCGTGCAAGGATTTACCAAATAGAACGGATTTAACGCTTAAAAAAAAAAAAAAAAAAAAAGGAAGAAAATAAAGAAAAAAGAGGGCTCTGAGTATGTGTTGCTTCCGTGACGTCACTGACAAATACCAGAATGCATGGACTTCCTTTGCTCTGGAGATGCCAGGGTGGGTGCGCCTGTCGGCCGAGGCAGGTGGGAGTCCAGGTGAGAGTCCGCGGGGCGTCTCATCCCGCGCCCCCCAAGCCTCTCCGGGGGTCAAGCCTGGGACAGAACGATGGAGAGTTGGAGCCAACGCAGCCCTACTCACTGTCTCCCAACGCTAGACCCCAGGAGACTTCATCCGTGGGGTCACTTTCACCTCGAACTTGGGGACATTCCGGGAGTCGCTAGCCAACATCCCAGGGGACCAACAACAACAACAACAACAACAAAACAACAAAACAAAATACAAAAACCAAAACACCACCTTAGGAGGTGGACGTCTCCCACCCTGCCTAAGCGCGCGGAGCCCGAGGAGCCCCTCGATCCCCGGGCCGCGCAGCACCTGGCGAGTCGCCGCCGTCCTCCTGGAGCCCGGGCTGCTCCAGGCCGCGGGCACCGAGTCTCGCAGGCGGACGGGCGGCGGGCGCCCCGCGGGAGCCCAGGACCCTGTCCCGCCGAGCGGGCCGGCCCGGACCGCAGCGACCCCGCAGAGCCCACCGCCCGCAGAGCCCGACGCCCGCAGAGCTCGAGGCCCCGCAGAACCCGATGCCCGCAGAGCTCAAGGCCCTGCAGCCCCCCCGCAGTGCCCAACGCCCCGCAGAGCCCGACGCCCCGCAGCGCCCCCCGCAGGGCCCGACTCCCGCAGAATCCGACGCCCTGCAGAGCTCAAGGCCCCGCAGAACCCGACGCCCTCAGAGCTCAAGGCCCTGCAGCGCCCCAAGCCCGCAGAGCCCGACGCCCCGCAGCCCCTCCGCATTGCCCAACGCCCCGCAGAGCCCGACGCCCCGCAGCGCCCCCCGCAGTGCCCAACGCCCGCAGAGCCCGACGCCCCGCAGCCCACCCGCAGGGCCCGACGCCCCGCAGAGCTCAAGGCCCCGCAGCGACCGACGCCCCGCAGCGCCCCCCGCAGTGCCCAACGCCCGCAGAGCCCGCCCCCCGCCCCGCAGCCCACCCGCAGAGCCCGACGCCCGCAGAGCCCGACGCCCCGCAGCGCCCCCCGCAGTGCCCGACGCCCGCAGAGCCCGCCCCCCGCCCCCCGCCCCGCAGCGCCCCCCGCAGTGCCCAACGCCCGCAGAGCCCGCCCCCCGCCCCGCAGCCCACCCGCAGGGCCCGACGCCCCGCAGAGCTCAAGGCCCCGCAGCGCCCCCCGCAGAGCCCGCCCCCCGCCCCCCGCCCCGCAGGGACTAGCTGGCGCGCGCCGGCGCGGTGACGTCAGGGCGGAAGCGCACGCGGCGTGAGGCGGCCCGGGCGGTCGCGGGCACGTCGGTCGCGCCGAGGACGCTGGTTAGTCTCGCCCGGGTTCCGGCTGCGTCGGGCGTGCGTGCAGCTCGCCCACACCATGGCGTCCGGGCCTCACCCGACCGCCGCCGCCGCCGCCGCCGCCGCTGCCGCCGCCGCCGCCGCCGCCGCGTCCGCCGCCCCGAGCGCGGGCGGCCCCAGCTCGGGGACGGCGGCCGCGACGACGCCCGCGGCGGGCGGGATCCTGATCGGCGACCGCCTGTACTCGGAGGTGTCGCTCACCATCGACCACTCTCTGATCCCGGAGGAGCGGCTGTCGCCGACGCCGTCCATGCAGGACGGGCTGGACCTGCCCAGCGAGACGGACCTGCGCATCCTGGGCTGCGAGCTCATCCAGGCGGCCGGCATCCTCCTCCGCCTGCCGCAGGTCGGGGCGGCGGGCCGGGGGGGGGGGGGGGAGGGGCGCGCGGCGGCCCAAGATGGCGGCGGCGGCGCCGCTCGGCCCGCCTGACCCCTGCGCTTGCGTTCTCCTCTCGGGCTGCAGGTGGCGATGGCGACGGGGCAGGTGCTGTTCCACCGATTCTTCTACTCCAAGTCCTTCGTCAAGCACAGTTTCGAGGTGAGCCCCGCGGGGGCGGGGGCGGGGGCGCGGGGATTTCTCCACCCGGAAGCGGGCCGGGGAGGGGAGGGGAGGGGAGGGGAGGGGGGGAGGGGGCGGCCGCCGCGGGCGCTTCCAGGGAGGGAGTGGTTAGCCGAGGCCTTTGTACCGCGCGGGGGACGTGCCCGGAGCGCGCACCGCTCCGCCCCGCAGCCTCCCCGACCCGGCCGTGCGGCTGCCGCCGGAAGGCCGAGCTGGCCCGTTAAGCAATAAAAAATCCAAAAATAAAAAATAAAAAAAAAAATTAAAAAAAAAAGCCGCATCGGTAGCCTGCTGGTGAGGTGACGGCCTAGGAATGCCCATCACGCTTCTGTTTCACCCCAAATCCCAGCTGCGTCCTGAGATCTGCAAATCAGAACGAGTCGGTTAAACTTGCCGGCAGGGGTGGGGGGGGATGGGATGGGATGGGATGGGGGGAGCCCTTTTTCCCCGATTCTGCTTCCTCGATCGTGCCACCCCCGCCGGGTGTAACCACGTCGCATTCGCTTGTGGGCTCTTGCAGATCGTCGCCATGGCCTGTATTAACCTCGCGTCGAAAATCGAAGAAGCGCCCCGAAGAATAAGAGATGTGATCAACGTGTTCCACCACCTCCGCCAGTTGAGAGGAAAAAGGTAAGATGGGCGTTACTGAGCGCAGTGTTGCTTGCCGCTACCGTCTCGTGCACCAACCATCCAACCAAAGCATTTCCCTTTTCTCTTCGAAACTGGTGGCAAAGGATAAAACCGGCCGTAATTCAGGTGTTGAAATGCACGTAGGAGCTCACTGATAAAACCCAAACCCATTGGAAACCAGCCACAATTAACCAGCTATCTAAAGTTTGTAGAGGCAGTTGCATTTATGGACAATCCTAACAGTGCTGTGAAGCCAGTCCTGGGGCTTAAGATTAAACAAGAAAGGGAATACGTTTGGCTCAAGTGTGAGTGTCTTCTGTAAGTTATTCCCCCACCCCACCCCCACCCCCTCCCCTCTCTTGGAAGACGGAAGGCTGGAAGCGTAAACCCTGCAGTGCAAGTTAATAACTGCGGCACAGTTTTGCGTAGAGTCTGTCTTTCTACTCGGAGTCCCAGTGAATTCTTTTTATCAATTGAGGTTGGCTCTTGTTAGAATACTTCTCAACATTGAACTACGCTATATGGCGCATAATACCGGATCTGAAAGGACTGCAGGATGATGATACAGGTTGAAGTTTGAAGTCAAAGGGATTGAACAGGTATTTTGTTTTGGTCAGATACAGTATCAGTGAGTGGGGTAGAGAGATAACCGATTGGGTTACATCTAGATAAGGGCCGTTTTATTCGATCTTGTAAGAAGTAGGAAAGCAGAGACCAAGTGCTGTGTCGTATTACAGGTTTTTGTGGCTACGCGACAACACTTTACGTGGACTTACGTGTTCCTGTGAGGCAGTGCCAAAAAAGTTAGCGGCGCAGGGCTTCCTGCATCTAGAGGGGACTTGCAGTGCACGCTCCAGGAGGATATCCTTGGCGTAGATTTAGTTTCTGTGTTAGCTCTTTAAGGAACCGTGATGTTGGACCAGCTTACCCTGTGGGAGTCCGTTATAAGAGGATTTTGAGTTGCAGGGGGTTGGGTGTCAGTTAGTGTCAAATTAGTATCCTGTGCGAGTGGTCGTTCTTGGCTGAGTCTAAGCTGGCAGGGATGGAACCATCCACAGACAAACAGTAGAGTAACCTTTAGTCTACTTACAAAGTCTGAGACGTTGTTACCCACGTAGTTTTCACGGCATTTTCAGCTTTCTTACAGTCTTTTTCCGCCATCTTTTCTCCTTCATCCTAACCATGTCCAGGGGCAGACTGATTTTTTTATTTCACTTCACAATATCTTTTAGCTTCTTGGTGAGGAATCCCTGGAAATTGGGAAGATTTCAAATTGGTATTTAGTCTGGTCTGAGCTAAACTTTGTTTTTAGGTATCTAGCTGATTCTTCAGGGTGTTTAAAACATGACAGTAATAAAAAGGCTTTCCATCCTTAGTAAAAGGATTCTGTGTTTGCCTAAGGGAGTTTTCTGTCCGTATTCTTTGAACCATTGAGCCAACTATTGTATTATCGCTTAACAATGATTATCTACTTTCCGTTTTTCTGTGAGACTTAGAGCATTCTTCCTTGATGTTAGAATAGGTCTTAACCATAAAGACCTTGGAATTTAAAACATCTCACTTGACTGACTGTTGTGTCTCATGTAATAGCGTGTTTTTGGTCATTATTACAGAGAAATTGACTTTGTCTCAATCTTACAAGTCTGATTATAGCATGAAGTTTAAAAGGAGTTAAATGCATGGAAGCCTTTTTTTAAAGCAGGATGTAAAAGTGTTTCTATGCATATTACAAGTTTACTCAGACACGTAGCTTGTATATGTTATTAACTTCAACTCTTTTTTCCCTTGCAACCGACTATACAGCGACCAGCTACATTTACCAAAGCCTGGGTGATGTGGAGTGGTACATAGAGATGAAGCTGTCGTCATGGCAACAGTGAGTGAAGTATCGAAAATCCCCAAGGAGAAGCCAGTGCTCTGAGAATAGGTCACTGGAATCGGGGACTAACAGGTTGGCCACTGGTGAACCATTTAGAAAAACTCCTGTTTCTTGTTATAAGCTTTTGTCTTTGCTGTCCAAGTTATTAGAACTATAGCTTCACGTTTTTTTTTTTTTTATGTTACGTCACTAGAAAGTACTGCCAGCGTTACACTTGAGTTAGATAAATAGCATATCAGTTTATCTTAATGATGCTGTTGTAATTTGATTTATGCATAGCTTTAAATCGTAGTATGATCTTGGTAATTTCAGAGGAGGCATCATTTTTGTAGCCTTTAGTAGGTCATTTTTTAGTCCTGATTATGCATTTAGAATCTCCAGAGGAGCTTTTAGAGAGTACCACTGCCCCACGTTCTGTCATGGGTTATTTGAACTCTCCCTTCAGTTTTTTGTAGTTATGTAATTATCATCTAAGCTCAGAATAAACGGCTACATTGAAAGGGAAGAGAGCCTTTTCGTTTCAGTAGTTTCCAACTTAATTTGCTTTAGCGATGCAGCTCATTTCCAGAAAATTCAGCATTTTCTGTAATTATAAGGAGTCCACACATGCATCCTTGACGGCTTGTCTAAAAGAAGACAATGAAATCTTCAGACTCATGGCACCCACTCATTGGTGAATGTGGTGTGGTATTTTCAATATGTATGTAGATAGGAAGTTGGAAAGGTATTAAGTGATCTTGTCGTTTAGTCCAACCTACCCCAGTTTATTTTGGTGGCTCTAAAGGTGGTGGCCTTCGGTTTGTTTAAAGACTGATAACGAAGGAACGTTCCTTTGGAGTAGGCATTACACATTTCTGTGTATTGAACAGCAGTCTGGCTCCCTGTAAAACTACTTAATCTCCTTTTAGTTTATAGTCTCTTGAAGAACTAGTTGAAAATTTTCTAGGTCTTTCTAGCACATGAATGAGACTTACCATGTTTGGGTGTATTCCTATTTTTTCATTTTTTTTTTTAAGTTGTATTTCAACTAATTATACTAAAGGAAAAGTTACTCTGAGGGATCAGATAAACTTCAGTGACCAAAGCCCAAGATTTCCTATTTGAAAATTTCCAGTTTGAAAATTGTTCTTTTCATGTAAATTTAATCTGACAAACTTAAAAGCAGAGGAGAGGTAGAGTTAGGTTTGGTTGGTTATTGATAATGAAAATTATTTTTTCTCTGAATAGATGGCAAGTTTTCTTTTTAAGAGGTTTAAGAGTGTCACCTCCTAAAACTTACTGGGAGGTTTGCCAAAATGAAGAAGAAATTCTAGCGAGCCTCCATTCAGTTTTATGTTCTTGCTGCCATAGGCAGTGCTGATTGATACTTTGTTAACATAAGTAAGGAAACCACTTGCTTACACAGTTTTCTCTTCTTACTGCTGAGGCAGGGGACACATTTTTCTATTTCTGATACAAAGTAATCTTTATAAGGTAGTTATAAATACATGCTCACTGAGCCTTCCTTGGTTTAAAACCCATTCTTAACAAAATGAAGACAGCAGTTTACATGGCTGCAAAGTTAACTTTCAAAACTAGGTTAGGTAATAGAAGGCCCAAGCAAGAAGTTGACTACATAGTTGAATTGTAGTAAATGGGTTTGGTTTCCTTAATTGGGTTTTGGTGTTCCTGGGCTTTTGATACCCAAGGAAGGGAAAGTGAAGATTGTGGCAGAATGAATGGAAAATAACAATTGACTTAAGCAGAATTAGTGACTGAGTAAGCCTGATTTGGGATCAGATAGCCATTATTCAAACAAGTGGTTAGTTAATTGCAGGAAAAATGAATTTTAACAGAATTTGAAGGCAACTCTTAAACCACGCTTCGTAAAAGATGTAGAGGAGTTTGCTCAATATAAATAGGGGAGAACAAAACTGATTTTATAAAATTTTATTTTTAGGATTGTAGTGGTGCAGATTACAGTCTGAATTGCCAGGGGTAAAGGGTTAATAGTAGAGTATCTCCAGCATTGGAGATGCCTGTCCTAATACTTGTCGAGGGAGGGCCATCAGATCACTAGCTAGGAAAGTCTAAGGTTTGGACTTGACCTTTTTCCAAGTTTTCTGTTATGATGATAAACCGTGAAAATTTACAAGTCTTAAGATTTTTGGGTTACATTTTCATGTATACATTGATTGCTCCGAAGTTAAATTAATTTTCTCTCAAAGAGCAATTAACTTGTAGCCTATCGTCCTGATAAAGAAGATTCGTTGTTATATTTTTATGTTTGAAATCAGTCCCCTGTCCGGTTGGTGGCCTCATTCCTCACACTTTGCATGGCTGTAATGGGAATTGAACTGCGGGAAGGCCATTTTCAGCATTGTTAATTTAAGTAAGCTAGTTTCCATCTTGTCAAATTTGCCAACCTTTTTCTTGTTTTTAGTGTATTTTATAAAAATCGTAGTATGAAATGATTTGAAGTAGTCTTAACAAGCGTTCCAGTTGCTGTGATTTAGAATGGGAGTAAGCAGGTCTTTAGAAAGCAGATTTTTTAGATATATGTCACTAATTCATTTAACTGTAGCTCATTTCAGATTGTTGTCTAATATTCAAGTGAATGTATTTAAATATATATGAGCTTACGTTTTTCTGCATTTGGTATGTAAGGTAAAATGAGTTGTGAATTGGAGTACTGTTCAGAATGACTATCTTTTAAAAACAGGTGTTCTGCCCAGGGCAAAAACTTGAATATTCTGGCTGAAAATGAATTCAGTATGGGGAAAAATATTTACATGTTCTCCCCATATACATATTCTATAACCACGCCTTAATGAAAACGTACTTTCTTGGTAGTTGGATCTAATAATGTAGCAAATGAAGGACATTGGGAAAATGAAAATCCACTAGTCCTGACTAAAAACAAACTTCTCAGTAAGAAACCAATTTTCAGTTCAAGACTTAGTCTTTTAACTGAACATGCTGTTTCCAAAGCACTGAACCATTGATAGCTTTCTGCGTTACAGCTTTTGGAGCTGTCGGAATTTAGTCTGGCACAGAGAAGCTTGAGCATTCTTCTGGTTCCCTCATTACAGTCCCCAGTCTCTTCTTCATCACATTCTAAAGAAAGTTATTCTGCCTAATAACAACTCAGACCTAGTGTAAACTTACTTTTTATCAACTTTCGGGTTTGAATCTAATTTTCAAAACATTTCTTTCTGTAATTGAGGTCAATCTTTAGTTACCAGATTTTCTTTGACAGTGGTGGATTCTTAGAACAATTTGTTCAAGCAAAGCACCCATTTAGGGAATCTGGATTATCTGCCTACCATTTTTTTCCTCTCCAATTTTTACTTTGGTCCTAAACTAGCCAAGAGTTGATATTTTAGAAAAACAAGTAAAATCATTATAATCTATGAAGTCTTTATGGTAAGTATTTTCAAGAGTCCATTAGCTTTGTCATTGGAAAGTCTAGACTGATGGGGTTTGTGATGATAAATCAGTAATCACTTAAGTTTATTTATGTATAAATGCATACATACCTATAAGGTAATCCTATGAAAAAGATCAACAAAGGCTAGATAAAGCATAGAGTGAATTTTTCACTACAGGATCGAGTTAGTTTCTATAGAAACTTAGTTAAGTATATGTTTAATTAGCATAACTTGGACAGCACAAGATTAATGCTTTAACTTGTTTGCAGGAGTTTAAAAAGCTGGTTTCTGTTGCCAATAGTTGGTTGGAAGGGAAAATGGAGATGCCACAAATAAAATTTTTTGGATGTGCAAAACAGTTTTGATTTTATTTCTTACAAACTATAGGACTCCAAGCCCCCTGATCCTTGATCAGAACTACATTAACACCAAAAATCAAGTTATCAAGGCAGAGAGGAGGGTGCTAAAGGAGTTGGGATTTTGTGTGCATGTCAAGCATCCCCATAAGGTGAGTTGTAGAGTGCAGAAATTACGTTCGTAAGTATTAGGGTTTTTCTTAAAATTGTATCTTACATGAATTTGTTACAGTTATTTTGAGAGTTAACCTTGGTTTTAAACAGCATCCTTTAGGATATTGAAATTTATCAGTAAAATAGGAGTCAAAAAGACCTGGGTTCAGACCTTCACTCTTCACTGTGTGGACATAGATAAGTTCTTTTTGCCTCTGTGGTTAACCCAGCTTCCCTACCTAGAAAACAGACTGTGTGTGAAGTACCTTATTCTAAGAGTAAATAATAATACACATCTGCAGAAGTACCTGGCATGCTACTGGTTGCTCAGTAAAATGTTCAAATCATGGTGGCTGCTCACTCTTCCTGTTCTTGTACGTTTGTAGATTTCTCCAGTGTCTCTTTGCTTACATATGATCACTGCAGTGGTTACCATGAGGGTGCTCTGGGGACAGGACTGTCTGTGATAGAAACTTGTCTCTGCCCTTAGCTGTGTGACTTGGGCAAACATATCTGTTCCTCAGGTTCCACATCTTTAAGATTGTAGAATGGGAATGATTGATTCTACAGGTCCAGAAAGCTCTGACCTGAACTCTCGTGGAGCTATTTATATAAGCTTCACTGCAGAAAGAGTAGTGTTTATTTACTATAATACCCACTGTGTGTATTAAATAATGTGGTCATACTCGTTGTATGACTTTAAAAACATAGTCTAGGGTTTTTGGACATGAAGAATTGTATCTTGGGAAATTAAGTGACATAATTTCTTACCACAGCATCTGTCACATAGTAATGTGTTCATGAGATGCTAGGTATTGTTTTTAATTGACTTAATTCTTTTTTTTTTCCTGTGAATTTTGGATCATATTTTAAAATTTTTATAGACTGTAGTAGCATAATAACCCACGTTGCCTATAATGTGCATTTTAGGTTGGTCTGTATTATCTATGCAGTTTGTAGAAGCGTTAAAACTTGTACCTAACATTTCAGTTACTTATATATTCATTGAACTCTGAAAGACCCACTGATATGCTAAATTGAGTTTTTTTCCCTTGTCCTTCAGATCATTGTTATGTATTTACAAGTCTTAGAATGTGAACGTAATCAAACCCTGGTTCAAACTGCCTGGTAAGTTGCTTTTTTACATTTCTTTCCTAGCCAGGAAAACAGAAGCAGAAATAAAGTAAGTTTCGTTTTCCCTTTCCAAAATAATGAGAGGAGTTTGTTTTGGTGCTTTTTGTTTTTTTTGTTTTTTAACCAAAAGGTAAATAATGCTTATTTCTGCTTCCTGTTTTCTTGGCTTGACTAATTGCTTTCAATGGAGAACTCAATTTAACTTTGTTCTTTTTTCTACTCTTTAATTAAAGGGTAGTCCATGATGGTAAGTCATAGAACTCTGCCCTCTGCACTTCAGCCCATGACCTCAGGATGGCCTGATTGGCTGCCCTGCTCTCCAGCCAATCCAGTGCAAGCTCTCATCCGAGATTCACTGAAGTGGTCCATATCCATCTGGCAGCATCTTCTAGTTCTGTCGGGGTGTCAAAAGGATTTGTATATTTGCTTCTAGAAGTAACTATTCAACATGCCTGTGTATTTAATGTATACCTGTAACTATCAAAATGAGTAGTTCATTTTTGATAGATTTGTTGTCCAGCCAGTATGAATAAAATGATTTTTTTTTTTTTTTTTTGGTTAGGAGTTTGACTTAGATTTCTAATTTTAGTATGTATAGCATGGATTCTGTCAAAGGAGACTACAGCTTGCAGCTTAAAATGGGTGCCATTCCCATACTGGATGCATTGCAGCTGCTGGACTACTGAGGCAATAATAATAGTACATTTTTAAGAGAGATGTTAATATTAACATAAGCACTTTAGAACTTGGACTTTTGACATGAAGATGTTTGATTTAGAGGGCTAGCTTATTTTAAGGTAAAACAATTTGGTCCAGCTACAATTACTTTTTTAAGACTCTTTGATATGCAGGACTTAAGTAAATTTTGTGTTCTGGACTTAATGACTACCATGCTTCTTTAGGACTAAGTATATACTAGTGGTATTAGAAAAGTCTAATTGCTTTTATAAAATGCATGACATTTTTATATATGCTCTATAAAACATTTAAGCAGTTTTCGTGGGTAAGGATTTTTAAGAAATAGTCTTCTTGGTTTAACCTTTTAAACAATTTGTGAAGTTTCTTTAATACTTTAGGGATATTGCGGGGAGGGTTCACTAATAAAGTCCAGCATTTTATTAACTGAAGTAGTTTATTGCTTTTGTTTATACTTAGTCACAAAAAAGGTATGTAAACAAGGCTGTTTTGTATATTTACTGCTCTTCCCTATCTAAATTTTCTGAAGTAGCTTACTTAGTTGTCTTAATATAACTTGGTGAGTGCTTACTGAAAATGCCTTTTTACCCCTGTCACAATATTTTGAGATTTTGAAAGAACTTGGTTGACACTGCTTTTTATTGTGGATAAAGGAGAGATGGTCAATGATTAATGGCTTGAAGTATTGTTGGAGTGGTTTATCATTTCTGAAACTTAGTTATGTCAAAATTGACTTTCACAGTATTGCCTTTTATAGAAATATATAAAAATAAGTTTTATTTGGAATAATATGGGATTATTTTAAAGGACTTTGGTCATTTATAGGAAAACTAGAGAATGGTTCTAGTGTTAAATTCTTATCTCTTACTGATTTTTGAGTTTAAGAATTGTCATATGCTAGAATATGAGGATATGAATATAAATATGAGAAGAAAAAAGAATAAAGTAGATTGAGTCTCCAATTTTATGTAAGCTTCAGACTGGCTGTTTTATTTATGTACAAAGCTTATGGTTGAAATATTTTTCAGGAATTATATGAATGACAGTCTTCGAACCAATGTATTTGTTCGATTTCAACCAGAGACTATAGCATGTGCTTGTATCTACCTTGCAGCTAGAGCTCTTCAGGTAGGTATATATAGCCTGTTTCTTCTATAGGATAAATCACAAGACTTAGCAGTCCTCCTAATAAAAACAAGTTTGATCTAAACCATTCTGTTTTTATGGTTTAGATTCCATTACCAACTCGTCCCCATTGGTTTCTTCTTTTTGGTACTACGGAAGAGGAGATCCAGGAAATCTGCATAGAAACACTTAGGCTTTATACCAGAAAAAAGGTAGTTGTTTATGCATGTTTAAGTGCTAAGAGTCTAAACTAGTATAAGGGGAAAATACTTACTTCATTTTCTTCCATTAGCCAAACTATGAATTGCTGGAAAAAGAAGTAGAGAAAAGAAAAGTAGCCTTACAAGAAGCCAAATTAAAAGCAAAGGGTTTGAATCCCGATGGAACTCCAGCCCTTTCAACCCTTGGTGGATTTTCTCCAGCCTCTAAACCATGTAAGATATATTCAGAATTGAAATGACTGGGCACTGAAGGTGTCTGGTTATTAGAAAGCTTTAGCATTTAGGGGCACCTGGGTGGTTCAGTCAGTTGAGCGTCCGACTCTTGATTTTGGCTCAAGGTATGATCTCAGCCTGACAGGCTCTGTTCTTAGTGCTGAATCTGCTTGAGATTTTTTTCTCCACCTTCCCCTCTCTTCCTGTCCCCTCCCCCCTAAATAAAGAAGTAGATAAATCTTCTTAAAAAGAAAGCTTTAGCAGTGGCACAGAAACAATGTTAAAAGAAGCTGTTACTGTTTTTTCTCATGTTAGTCAACTCAAGATCATACTTGAAAGCAGGGTACTTGAGTTATATTTAGAAACAACTTTTTGGCCCTCTGTTAAATCCAATAGGTAACATGACTTTGTGTTATTGGGTTGTTTTTGTTTTTTTAAGCATCACCAAGAGAAGTGAAAGCTGAAGAGAAGTCACCAGTGTCTGTCAATGTGAAGACAGTCAAGAAAGAACCTGAAGACCGACAACAGGCTTCCAAAAGCCCTTATAATGGGTGAGTGTCCTTGAGTTAGAAAACTGGTCTAAGGAATCTTTTATGTTTTTAATTTCTAACACACTAAACATGTACCTAAAATAATGGGTTTGTGTGTGTGTGTGTTTTGTTTTTGTGGTTTTTTTTTTTTTTTTTTTTTTTTTTGAAGAGTAAGAAAAGACAGCAAAAGAAGTAGAAATAGCAGAAGTGCTAGTCGGTCAAGATCAAGAACGCGATCACGTTCTAGATCACATACTCCAAGAAGACAGTAAGTAAATATTCTCCTAGAGAAAGGAGTCTTATTTGGAGTTAGGTTCCTACTTTTTTAAAAATTGAATGTAGATGTCACAGTTGGGCTACATTTAATAATTTAACATGAGGTAAATTACGAGAAAGGAGTTTGGAAGTATGTCCTGCCTATACATGGCTTTTTGTGTTTTGGGGTGGTGTAGCTTATGAGCTATTCTGTTTTTGCCCATATTTTGGAGAGGTGTAGGGGCTGGCCACAAAGTGCTATGGAAAGCTGTTAATACCTTGTTTATAATGTGAAAATAGTTTTGTTCAATTTCAGTTAGAAAATATTAATATTTTATTAACTGTTAACCAATACTCAAGTTGGCCAAAGAGTCTTCCCAAGTTAGCTTTGTAATTAGTTTCCTAGCTGCTTATGTCTATTCAGTGGCTCTTTTGAGCATGTGTGAGATATTCAACAAAAAGCATAGTTTTGTTTTGAAGCTATTCTAAGCACCACCAAAATAATTTGGTCCCAGTAGAAACTGAATCTAAACCTCAAATTTTTATTATCTAAGTTATAACAATAGGCGGAGCCGGTCTGGAACATACAGCTCAAGATCAAGAAGCAGGTCCCGCAGTCACAGTGAAAGCCCAAGAAGACATCATAATCATGGTTCTCCTCACCTTAAGGCCAAGCATACCAGAGATGATTTAAAAAGTTCAAATAGACATGGTCATAAAAGGAAAAAATCTCGTTCTCGATCTCAGAGCAAGTCTCGGGATCACTCAGATGCTGCCAAGAAACACAGGCATGAAAGGGGACATCATAGGGACAGGCGTGAAAGATCCCGCTCCTTTGAGAGGTCCCATAAAGGCAAGCACCATGGTGGCAGCCGCTCAGGACATGGCAGGCACAGGCGCTGACTTTCTTCTTTGAGCCTGCATCAGTTCCTGGCTTTGCCTATCTATGGTGTGATGTATGGACTCATAATCAAAAACATTAAAAGCAAACTGATTAGGATATGATTTCTTAAAACCCTCTAGGTCTCTAGAAACACTGAAGACATTTTGTTTTGGAAAAACTATGGTTGTTTTTTTTTTTTTTTCCCTTGGGTTTTTTTTTTTGTTTTGTTTTCTTGGTTTTTTTTTTTTTTTTTTTTTCCTTTTTGGTTTTTGTTTTGGTTTTTGTTTTTGTTTTTTTTTGCACATTAAAATGCCCTAGCAGTATCTAATTGAAAACCATGGTCAGGTTCAATTGTACTTATTATAGTTGTGTATTGTTTATTGCTATAAGAACTGGAGCGTGAATTCTGTAAAAATGTATCTTATTTTTATACAGATAAAATTGCAGACACTGTTCTATTTAAGTGGTTATTTGTTTAAATGATGGTGAATACTTTCTTAACACTGGTTTGTCTGCATGTGTAAAGATTTTTACAAGGAAATAAAATACAAATCTTGTTTTTCTAAACTGCTTCAAATATCTTATTTAAATAAATTATTTAAAAAAGTAAAATTTTAATAGTAAAGTGCTTGTACTGATTTTCTGACAAATTTACTCTTTTCCTCCGTTAGCTATGGTTTGAGATTATTAAATGCAGTTTTTACCTGCAGTGGGAACTATTGTAAAAGTCTTAGCCTTATATATGGAAAAAAAGATGGGGTGTGTGCAGCAATGTAAGATTAGATGTTACATTGTAGCACTAAGCCAGTCTTATAATGAAATCTATTTGCACATAAATAGTATTTATGGTACCATTTCTTAAATGAGCTGCCCTCTTGATCAAATGAAAACTTAACATGACAAATCAGACCCAATTGTTGACTTTTAAGGTTTTTCTTTAAATTAGATATTTAATGAGGATTTTTATCTAAGCTAGGAAGATTCAGTAATAAAAGGAGCTCTCCCCATCCCCCTACTTGGCTGGGGCTGATAAAGTCTGACCACAAAGAAAATGAAGTTTTGTTGTAAAAGCCAGAAGTCCTATATCCAAATGAATACTTTTTAAGTTATTCATGTTGAGAGTTATTTTCCCAATAATTTGGAAGTGAATTTAGAAATCTTTTTTATTTAAAGATTTTATTTAGCAGGGTACAGGGCAGGTGGTGACAAAGACAGGACACACACACAAAGGGAGAGAGAACCTCAAACGGATTCCACATGGAACCAAAAGCTGGGCAGACCCACAACCCGTAGATCCTGACCTGAGTAGATGTTCAACTGACTGAGCCACTCAGGAGCCCCTGAATTTAGAAATCTTAAAGGACATATTTTATAGTTAAAATATTTAGTTTTCCACTATTTTTTTAATACAGCTTGATACTTTATTTGTCCACTGGACTTGGCTCCAAATGATTTTTTGCTGTATCAATAGATGAAATACACGCAGAAAGATACAAAGATTCACTGCCACTTAAGATGTTTAAAAGAAAAAAACTGAAGATTATTTCAAAAACCTATAAAGCATGGTCACCAGTGGTGGGCAATGGGGCTGGAAAAAGCAAGCCAACTAAGGCAACTACATTGAAGGAGACAAGACTCCCTTGGATTTTAAAATGGGTGTGCCACTTTATTTTTTTTTAAGATTTTATCTATTCCTGAGAGAGTGGCAGAGACACAGGGAGAAGCAGGCTCCACGGAGGGGAGCCCGACGTGTGGGGACGTGTGGGACTCGGGTCTCCAGGATCGTGCCCTGGGCCAAAGGCGGCGCCAAACCGCTGAGCCCCCGGGCTGCCCTGGGTGGGCCACTTTAATAAATCAGTTGTTGTAACTAGAAAACTAGCCCGACCTCAATAAAGAGCGACTTCTGAAGGGGTGAATAGCACGAAGAGCATATACACTGCCAAACTAGCTGTTTAAGAGGCTAACCTGTCTACGCAGGAAGCCAGTTGTTTCCTTTACGAGATCAGCACTGAAGAAGGGCAGCGGCGGCCGTCCACCGAGGCCCTCCCTGTCTGACCAATTAATCCTGAATTCTTGATCGTACTTAATTCCTTACCTACTTTCCCCTGGTTGGAGAGAGCACCGTGGCTGGGCTTTGAAGACCAGACGCAGGAACTCGCCTGCATGTGGGATGAGATCTGCAGTGTGTCCGGTGGCTTCGCAAGGATGTCTCCATGTATCCTAATTTTTGCCTTGTGAGACCGGTGATAAAGTTTTGTAGGTTTTTGTCAAGAAGTTGACATTCTCATGCTGCTCTCTTTTTAAGTATGTATCAATTTTTCAACTTCTGTTAAAGGAAATTTCTAACAGAAGTAGTACAATACCCATGTCTCCGCTCCAAAAATGATCGATTCCTGGTCAGCCTGCTTGTTCGTACCTACCAACTCACCATTTTACTTCCCACTCATTTGGAAGAAAATCCCAGACAACTGATTTCATCCCCAACTATTTCAGTCTGAAAGATCAGGATTTAAACTACCACAGTACTTTTTATTAAAAAAAATTAACAGTAATGCCTTACTGCCCAGTCAATACCCAGATTTTCCTATCTAATTTGTTTTTATAATTAGGATGTTCAAGCAAATTCATATTGTTACATTGCTTTTAATCACAGATTCTCCCATCCTTTTTCCCCCTTACAATTTTAAAAAATCGGGTCATTTGTTTTGATGACATTTCCACATTCTGGGTTTGCTCATTATAACCCAGTGGCATCACAGACATACTTTCCTATCTCCCGTATTATAAACTTGACAATTCTTAAGACTTGATCAGATTCAGATTTGAGGACTTTTTTTTTTTTTTCCTAGTCTGAAATTTAAAAGTCTGGGGATTGAGGCTGTGTGTTATTCTAGAACTGTTAGTAGACTGTGCCTCATTCACTAAGTATTTCATGGAGTTCCCTTTTTTTTTTTTTTTTTAAGATTTTATTTATCTATGAGAGAGGCAGAGACACAGGCAGAGGGAGAAGCCGGCTCCCTGCGGGAGCCCGATGTGGGACTCAATCCTGGGACCGGGACCGGAGGCAGACGCTCGACCACAGAGCCCCCCAGGGGTCCCTGAGTTCCCGATTCTTAATCCACTAGTGCCTGCCCCTGACAGCTTTGTGTGCGAATCTCCCCATTGCGCGTATGTTCCCTCATCTTGTGTTTCCCCACTACAGCCATGAGTCCTAACGCACGCGAGTTGTTTAGTATTTGTTCTAATGATCCTGATTCTTAAAACTTCAGTCCTTTCACGTTATGGAATGTTAACACCTGTCCTTTATTTTTGGTTTCTCAACCTAAAGGATGACCAGTGACCAGCTTAATCCCCTCTCCGTTTAAAAACCGCGATCAAAGTGACTACCTTTTTACTGAGGTTCTAAGTTTTGCTTTCTAGCTTTAAATATTGTCACTGCTGCCATCAGTTTGTAACTGATCGTTGCCCGCAACCTGCGTCAAAAGCCACTTAAAGGTAGCTCTCCTGAAGGTTTCCAAAAACAAGATAATTGCATGATGGTGTTCGTTGTCCTACGAGCCATTTCTTAACATAGGCTGTAATAGAGAACTGTAAAATTTTTTTTTTAGAGACCAGATTTTTTTTCCCCAAAATCCATCTTATAATCATAGGGAGCTTAGTTTAGCTGGAGACAGAGAACGTTCACAGGGTTTGATAAGGAAAACCCATGATCCCCCCCACTGGGAAGATCGGGAGGGCAGCAGGATTCATGGTGTGGGCCTTGCTCCCCGCGCGTCCCCGGGGAGGGTATGTGTGTGGCTGGAAGTCACAGCTCTGACTTTGTAACCATTTGAATTCTGTCTGTTTCTTGGATGAAAGGACCATGGCCTTCCCGGTCATCTCTGAATTGGAGCCACTCCTCCGCTGAGGGACTTGGCACGTTATCTAGCGTCTGGTCAGCCACGGCCCGCCCGGCAGCGAGGCAGGTAGAAGCGGGGCCTGCGTTTAGGTCTGCGGTTCCCGTAGTTCTTACTAGGACGCGTCCCAACTATTGAGAAGTTTGACTTCTATGTTCCTGACGAACCCGTAATTTTAGGATGCTGCTGCGCTGCAGTTGGAGCTGATCCTGGACAAGGTTGTCATGGAAGCCCGGGCCCTTAGATCCCAGGTGTTCTCCTGACCCTTCTGTGTCTGCCGCGTCCGCTCAGCTCACTTGCAGCCCAGTTCCCAGTACAGAGGGAAGCCCCAGCCTGCCAGCGAGCGCGCCTGCCTGCCTCCCTCCCTCCCTCCCTTCCCTGCAGCAGCCATCGCCTGGCACCGGCCTCTCTGCCTTCGCCACAATCTTGCAAAGAGCAGCTAATGACCTACTTAAAGCGTTAATCACATGTTCCTCTAATACGTTAAGCTTCCAGTGGTTTCCCATTTCACCTCAAATAAAATACAAGCCTTTGACTCTGGCTTGTACGTAACCCAGCCCTCGCTGGCCTCTTCCATCAACCAACCTCTCTTTCTCCTCCTCAGATGTGCACATCTACCCCCGAGCCTTTGCACTTGCCGCCTTTCCTACTTGGGAGGCTCTCCCGAGGCTTAATGTCAGAGGCTTCATCATTCGCGTGCCCTTCTCTTTACAGGGGGCTCCTTTCACACCCCATCTAAAATAAGCACGTCTGGGGATCCCCGGGTGGCCCAGCGGTTTAGCGCCGCCTTCGGCCCAGGGCGTAACCCAGGATCGAGTTCTGCATCAGGCTTCTTGCATGGAGCCTGCTTCTCCCTCTGCCTGTGTCTCTGCCTCTCTCTCTCTCTCTCTCTCTCTCTCATGAATAAATAAAATATTTTTTTAAAAATTCCAGCCTCTTTCAAAAAACACACACACACACATGCATGAGATGTACAATCCCTGGTATCACGCACTGGCACCAAGCAGCCCTCTGGTTGGGATGTGCACACGCCCGTGCATTATCCCTCTTTCTACTCCCTCTTCATCACAACACTGAAGCCCCATGTCAATTTGCATTTATCACCAACAGTGGGGTTTTTCTAGAATCCTGCTCTTTTTCTTGATACTACCTGCCTGGTCTTTTTGCAGTAGACCCCTGGCGTCACAGAGAAGAATCCAAGGCCTACATCTGTGAACGAGGCCTAGTTGTATGGGATCCCGGGTCAGATGAATGACCCTGTCCACGGTGCCCAGCGTCTCTCGGCTGGCTCACCACTAACCTCACACTGGAATTTCCCCTTTGAGGAGCTTCTGCGTTGCTGGAGCACCTGTGGGAAACCTCCACAAATGGAGTCTTCCTGTTTTCATACAGGGCGTATGTATGACACAGCGCATCTTTGTCCAGAGCACAAGGCGCTCAAGTCTAAGCCACCGTGACGTCCAACGCTCCAACCCCAGATCACAAAATTAATTTTCTGCTCAAAATGTGTTATTTTCTTGGTCCTTTTCAACCAAACCAACTTTTAGTCATTTAACTGTGCAGCGTGGATTAGCGGTGTACAATGAGGTCTAGTTGAAACTGGTAGGTCCCGGCAGACAGTGAGAAATTAGGAGTCTCGGCCAGTGAACTGCCGACGTAACTTGAAAACAG